CCTGCCTCAGCCTCCTGAGTAGCTGGGACTACAGGCGCCCGCCACCACGCCCGGCTAATTTTTTGTATTTTTAGTAGAGACGGGGTTTCACCGTGGTCTCGATCTCCTGACCTTGTGATCCGCCCGCCTTGGCCTCCCAAAGTGCTGGGATTACAGGCGTGAGCCACCGCGCCCGGCCGACCCTTTGTTCTTGATCGCACACTCTCCTGCCTTCCAAAACTTGGGCTCACTAACTGTTTACTTTCTCTGGCCCTTTCCCACTGACCATAAGTATGTTCAGATATTCTTTTTGTGGTTTTTTTTGTTTTTTTTTTTTTGTTTTTGAGACGGAGTCCCGCTCTGTTGCCCAGGCTGGAGGGCAGTGGCGCAATCTCGGCTCACTGCAAGCTCTGCTTCCCGGGTTCGTGCCATTCTCCTGCCTCAGCCTCCGGAGTAGCTGGGACTACAGATGCCCGCCACCACGCCCGGCTAATTTTTCTGTATTTTAGTAGAGACGGGATTTCACTGTGTTAGCCAGGATGGTCTCAATCTGCTGACCTCATGATCCGCCTACCTTGGCCTCCCAAACTGCTGGGATTACAGGTGTGAGCCATTGCGCCTGGCCGTTCAGATTTTCTTTATCCTAAAAATCCTTAATGTCTACTCCCTTTTCTCTCTAAGTATCTGATGTTTCCTTTCCTCTTCTAACAAACCTTTCAGAAGAAAGTTCTGCGTTGTGTGTTTATATTCAGTAAGCCTTTGCAATGTGCTCTTAGCACTCTCTTAAATTTGGATGTTTCCAAAAATCTCTCTTTTCTCCATACTCATTCTAGTAAAGCACACCTCTGACTCTATTTTAAGGTCTTCCATGGATCTCCAAACATCATTAAATAAAATCCCTATCTTCAAGGCCCTGCATACTTGGGTCCCAACCTACTTCTCCAGCCTCATTTTCCATTACTCCCTTACATCCACACCATCCAGCAAAAATAAAATAAAATAAAAATAAAATAAAGCTTTGGTATCCCCCAAGTATGCCCTGCTCATTTCTGGTCCCTTCTTTCCAAGTCTCCCATCTGTTTGCTCTTGACATTCCCAGGTTTTACAACATGTCCCACCCATCTCAAATCTCTACCAATGAAAATTCTGTCGTTATCTCAATGCCCATTCAAGCGGTATTGTCTCCAGAGCCTTTCATCATTCATCATTCATCCAGAAATGCTCTCTCCCACCTTTAAGCTGTATCAAGCAGTCATTTATCACATTCCCTTGGATTGACAGTGACGTACACATACATGAATATGAATCTTAGTTTAACCAAGACTGTCAAGTTTATATTCATCCTCTCGGGGTTATTATGAAGACCAGCTCTCTTCACTCTCAAATGTAGACAAATTTGAATACTAAATTAGATGGTCACCTTTTCTCTATATAGGATTCACCCCTTCCAAACTAGATTGCAAAGTCCCTAAGAACCTAGAACAAGAATGTATACAATAAGCCCTCATATTTGTTGAATGAATAATAAATAAATAAACAAAATGAGTAAAGAAAGATAGAGCCTCAATGTGATTTGTCATCAGGTTAACCTGAACCAATCTTTTCCTTTTTTACTGACTCATTCTCATATATATAAAATAAGGATGTTTCTGATTTATTTCCAGGAAGATTGCAAGAGTTATTTTAAGGTTTTCAGGAGGAAAAACACTGTAAATCTAGGGTAACGTTTTATTATAATTTTCCAAATGTCTTACCAGTCTCTAAAAACTAACTTATCAGATAGCATATGGAGAGATTTAGATCTCTATTAGCAGTTCTATTTTAAGTAAGAAGGTAGGTAAGTCCTTAATTATACTAGGTAAATATTAACATTTTTGGGGCATTTTTCTATATTTTCTATATTCTTAAGCCATCTAACAAGTGAAAGGCATAAAATAATTTTTACTTTAACTTTTCTATTTATTCAGTATCTGGCAAATGGAAATTACCATTCCTTGTATTAACGTACTTTTAAATTAGACTAAAAAGGAAAATAAAAGCAGTTATAGGCAATCGAGCTGTCCTGGTTTGAAAAATAACCCAAACAAGCCAGTAAATCTTAATCTAACTTGAATTTTCACAACCAAAGCTTAATATATAAACAAACAAAATAAACCGTTAGGAAGACATACCTTGCAATCAACATATGGTCCTGAATGTAGGCTAAAAATTGAGGGTGATCTTTTCTGGCAAGGTATAAACACTCTCCATGCAGACAAAGAATCTTCAGGCAATTGAGCATATTAAAAAGAATGTCTGGCTCTTCAAACTTAGCCATTTCCTATACAAAAAACCACATGGTTACTAAGTTATCCAAAACAGTAATGCTAGCAAGCCAAGTACTCAAAGATATCAGAAAATATACCTGGAAAATGGTATATATTAGTCTCAATGTTACCGGAAGCTGTTGGTAGCAAAATTTTCTTTCAGTATCATTCTTTACTGCTGTGAAGAAATAATTACACAAAAATTAGGCTAACTCTTCATTTCCCCCATCATTCATCAATTTATCAAGATCCTAAAAACCAACAGGAGTAACAAATTGACATAGAATATATGCAACATTGTTTGAGCAATGTTTTTATTTGCTCTCCAAATTAGCATATATCCCTGCTATGATACTAGTGCAGGAAATCTTCTGAATTGAGAATTCTCAGTTTCCATTTTCCACCGTGCAGTCCCTCATGAATTCAGATGTCTTTGGCTCCCTAGAGCTACCCCTACCCAGAGACATCTGCATACATGATGGACTGCACAGTGCTGCTAGTTCTGTTAGTTCTGCTGCTCCCTGAAGGGACTTGGAACCTGGCTAGCTATGCCTTCCTAATTGGAAGGGAGATATGCAGGTATGAGAGGTGTTCGGCCAGGCGCAGTGGCTCATGCCTGTAAATCTCAGCACTTTGGGAAGCCAAGGCAGGTGGATCACTTAAGGTCAGGAGTTCAAGACCAGCCTGGCCAATATGGTGAAACCCGTCTCTACTAAAAATACAAAAATTAGCTGGGTGTGGTGGTGGGCACCTGTAATCACAGCTACTTGAGGGCCGAGGCACGAGAATCGCTTGAACCCGCGAGGGTGGAGGTTGCAGTGAGCTGATACCGTGCCACTGCACTCCAGCCTGGGCGACAGAGCAAGACTCAGTCTCGAAAAAAAAATAAAAAAGAGAGAGAGAGAGAGTTGTTCAAGTTGTACTACCAATTAAAGGGGTCTATCCCATGGATTCTCACAAAAAGAGGCGCATTTTGAAACAGTTGAACATATTTAGATGAGAACAACTACTCATTATTTTCACCCTCTCGTGAGGATCTCTAAAACTTTTGCCCCCATACTGGGGGCAGTAATGTATCATACGTGAGGCATGCTTGAGAAAAGAATTCGCAAGTTAACCAGATGCAGAAACTAATGCAGAATGTGTTAAAATCACCATTACACGTTTTGGCAGTCCCTAGGATCAGAGGCAATGGCAGTCAAATTCTCTTGGTCTAGATACTGAAAAGTCCATTGGGCATCTCCTGCCTGAATGTATTTTAAATGCTTGTCATAAGTACTTGACTGTTTTGTTTGATGTGAACGTTTTCAATACATTTTTGGTGGTGGACGTATCTGACCGCTACAGGAAATAGGGGCCAGGCCTCAAGATGGGAAAAAGGGAATCACATTAGAAGGGAGGGGAAGCCTCTGAACACGTGTCGACAGAGCACCCCTGAATTCTAGGACGGTAGAGCTCCAGATCACCACCTGAAGGCCCGCAGAGCAGAAGCAGGAGGGAGGCTCTGAACAGCAGGGAACCCTGGTCTTGGAAGAAAGAGAAGAGGGGCTCTCCTGAGGAGACAATTTATAACTGCACCCTGCAAGACAGCAGAGAGCCTGACCAGGAAAAGAGGCTAAAGCTGCTACAGGAGCCTGGAGGAGCATGCAGGGGAGAACAAAGCATGTGTTTTAATAAGTGGACTGTATAACAATTCAGCAAGGAAAAGAAAAACATTTAAAAATAAATTGCTGGCCAGGTGCAGTGGCTCACACCTATAACCCTAGCACTTTGGGAGGCTGAGGTGGGTGTATTACTTGAGGTCAGGAGTTCGAGACCAGCCTGAACAACATGACAAAACCCATCTCAAAAAAAAAAAAAAATTAGTTGGGCATGGTGGCAGGCGCCTGTAGTCCCAGCTACTCAGGAAGCTGAGACATGAGAATTGCTTGAACCTGGGAGGTGGACGTTGCAGTGAGCCGAGATCACACCACTACACTCTAGCCTGGGCAACAGAGTAAGACCCTGTCTCAAAAAAAAAGAAAAGAAAAAAAAAATTGCTTAGTTTTAACCATTGTTCCAATACAATATTACATAGAAATAAAAGTAGCAGTTAATTGATCTGTGTGCAAGCTTAGATTTTAAAAATATATTTGCATAGAAAGAGGACAGGCTATTGGATCATGCGTGAAGTCCCAGCTTCCCTTAGGCATGAATGCTTAAGAGAAACATAACTGTAGGCCTGGGCCCTGGCTGCTGCAGCACCTAAAACAAGTTAATTAATCCTAAACTAAACTAGAAGTTGGGTTCTAGTCCCAACTCTGCCATTAATTAGTTGTTTCCAATTCCCAGGTCCCCATCCCAGGGATACCCAGACTTGGAGCTGGGGAGTGGAGCTTTTGTTTGTGTTTCTGCTTCTCAGTGACTCCGATGTTCCGTTACAGCTCTGGAATCATGTGAAATATGAAGTACAAATTGTGAATGAATAGTAGGAGTGACATGACCAGAGGCAAGTCGTTTAACCCATCTGGGATTTATTTTCCTCATCTGCCAAGTGCAAAGCCTAAATAAACTGGATCAGCAGATTGTAAACTTCTTTTCTGCAGAATATTTTGTTTACAGAAAATCTTAGAATTCCAACACACGGCCGGGTGCTGTGGCTCACTCTGTAATCCCAGCACTTTGGGAGGCTGAGACGGGTGGATCGCTTGAGCCTAGGAGTTTGAGAACAGCCTGAGCAACATGGCAAAACCCCATCTCTACAAAAAGTTTTTAAAAATTAGCTGGGCATGGTGGAGCATGTCTGTGGTCCCAACTACTCGGGAGGCTGAGGTGGGAGGACTGCTTGAGCCCGGGAGGCCAAGGCTGGAGTGAGCCATGATCACGCTCTCCTGCACTCCAGACTGAATGACAGAGCAAGACCCCATCTCAAAAAAAAAAAAAAAGAACTCCAACATAAGAAAGAGAGCAAGTCGTCGGAGTAATCTGGCAGAAGCAAGGTGGGGAGCCTGTTGGGTCTTTATATTTTGCCTTCCTCTTTCCCCCAGGGGTTGCCCCAATTGAGGATGTTCCAAAAGAAATCACACTGAGCCTTTACAGCTCTAAGAAATGTACACTGAAAACCAGTGAATCAGATAATCTCAGGTATTCCTTCAAATTCTAAGGTTTATGACATGAAATAGTGTGAGCTGAGATATTCATACACAATTCACTGTTCATATGATCCATGGAGAAGCAGTTAGTTCTGACCAAAGGTTTTGTAGGGTTACTTTTGTCTGAACAAGACACCTCCACAGTTGCAATGAACCCCAGGAAACAGTCCCCTAATAATATCTGCTGCTCATTGAAGGAATGATGCCAAGCCCATGCCTCCCGATACTGGAGTGAGCTTCCAGGAGCAAGCTTTTTCTTTTTTTTTTTTTGAGCAGAGTTTCACTCTTATTGCCCAGGTTAGAGTGCAATGGCGCAATCTCGGCTCACTGCAACCTCTGCCTCCCCAGTTCAAGTGATTCTCCTGCCTCAGTCTCCACAGCAGCTGGGATTGCAGGCATGGGCCACCACGCTTGGCTAATTTTGTATTTTTAGTAGAGACGGGGTTTCTCCATGTTGGTCAGGTTGGTCTTGAACTCCTGACCTCAGGTGATCCGCCCACCTCAGCCTCCCAAAGTGCTGGGATTACAGGCGTGAGCCACTGTGCCCAATCAGGAGCAAGCCATTCCAACTCTTTTGGATCATGGATGCAGGAAGATTGAAAAGCTGCCCAGATCTGCCCCAGGTCTCATATAGATCCCCAGAGTGCCACCATCCAGAGCTAGAAATCAGGCTTTCCCAGAGGCACGTGGGGTCACATCCTGAAATCCCTAAATGCCGTCATGTGAAAGGAGCTAGAGTACGATTCCTGAGCATGTCTGCCATCTCGCTTGCCCCCACTGCGTCCACCCAAGAACCTTGAGACAAATGAGAAAGAGGCCACTCCCCAGCCCCAGCTAAGAGCCAACAAAGTAGCCTCCAAGCTCAACCTGCACAGCCCAACCGCCAGAGCCCCATTCTTCTATCCAAACACACTCTGCTTTGGCCAGATGCCCCGAGTGGCTGTCAAGATTGTCAGCGCCCAGCCTTGGTCCACAGAGAACACCAGACATCGTAAGTAGGGAGGCGATGAGTTTTTATTGAAAACCGGCACCTACTGCCAGAAAGATGCTCAGGGAACTGGGTTCTATGGGAACTGCAATGGATCTGTTCACTTTATAATCTGCTGGGAAATGTTCCTCTGCATGAGTCTATACTAAGGAAACCACGTCTGAATTTGCCCAAGTCGATGTTAAACCAAGAACCCAGTGATTTGAACATCAGGCCCTGTGCACACAGTACACTCCCCAGCAGTCAGAGCACACCTACCAGCACGTTCCACAGGCTCGGTGCGATTGCCTGGGTTCTCCCCATGCTTGCTTGAAGGATTCTCCTCCTCCTCCCCTTCAGGGCCTATGATAAACTCTGGTCTGGAAGAAAGGAGGCTATCCTCAAGGCTGTCTGTGGGCTCCTGAAATAAACAGGACAGGCAGCCAGGTAAGCAGCCCTGGAGGGGCGTCAGGAACAGTTCGCTCAGCTCAGCAAAGCTGGACTGCACAACTGCTGTGTCCTGGGCCCCATGCTGCTGCAGCCAGAGGCCAAGGCACCACACCCCAAAAGACCTCAAGCTTATTGTCAGAACAGTGAAAAGAAAGCTCTATCCGCTATTGCTGAAATATTTTCTTTCACTTCAAATATATATAGAAGATCAAAAACATCATTAAATCTTCCTAGGCCTGCTTTCTCACCTCAAGTCACTCCCACCCATGTGCATGTTATTCAATAACAGGACTTAATCAGGAAGGAATAATAAGGGGTTCACAGAGCTATATTAAGATGCAAATGGCTGGGCACTGTGGCTCACGCCTATAATCCCAGCACTTTGGGAGGCCGAGGTGGGTGGATCACGAGGTCAGGAGTTCGAGTCCAGCCTGACCAACATGGTGAAATTCCGTCTCTACTAAAAATACAGAAATTAGCCAGGCATGGTGGCACACACCTGTAATCCCAGCTACTAGGGAGGCTGAGGCAGGAGAATCGCTTGAACCTGGGAGGTGAAGGTTGCAGTGAGCTGAGATTGCACCACTGCACATCAGCCTGGGCGACAGAGCAAGACTCTATCTCAAAAAACAAGATGCAAATACTGGCCAGGTGTGCTGGTTCATGCCTGGAATCCCAGTGCTTTGGGAGGCTGAGGCAGGAGGATTGCTTGAGGGCAGGATCTGAGACCAGCCTGGGCAACACAGTGAGACCTCATCTCTAAAAGAATGTTTTAAATTATCCAGGCATGGTGGCATGCCTGTGCCCAGTTACCCAGGAGGCTGAGGTGGGAGGATCCCTGAAACCCAGGAGTTCAAGGCTGCAGCTATTCATGATCCCACCACTGCAATTCTAGGTGACAGAGCAAGACCCTATCTCTAAAAATAATAATAATAATAATAAAAAATAAATTTTTTAAAAAATTTAAAGACACAAATACTGGTTGTCCAGGGTAGTCAAATTTTTAGGAGCGAGAAACTGCTATAACATGTGAGTTACAGACAGCAAGGTATGGCAACCCAAGTGTCTGTCAACAGCTAGCTGGAGAAACAATTTAAAAATGCATACATTTGGCCAGGTATGGTGGCTCACGCCTGTAATCCCAGCACTTTGGGAGGCCGAGGAGGGTGAATCACTTGAGCTCAGGAGTTTAAGACCAACTGGGCAACATGGCAAAACCCCGTCTCCACAAAAAATAATTTAAAAATTAGCCAGGCATGGTAGTGGGTGCCTGTAGTCCCAGCTGCTTGAGGGGCTGAGGTGGGAGAATCAACTGAGCCTGGGAGGCAAAGGTTGTAGTGAGCATGATCGAGCCACTGCACTCCAGCCTAGGAGACAGAGTGAGACACTGTCTCAAAAAAAAAAAAAAAAATTTACAGTAGTCATTATCACTTAAACTTTGTAATATAACTTTGTGATAAAAGTTATTTCAAGAATACTAGTAATGCATGAAACCATATGAATGGAGGCGCTACAACCCTCACTCAAGCCACTTAATAGAATTCTGTATAGTGTGGCTCCAGTTTGTATCCCTTTCCAAGAGCCTGAGTCGGCGGAAGCAATGGGAAAAGTTTCTTTTAACACAGTCTCACGTATAACCCAGCATGGAGTCTAAGACGATGCCGGAGGAAGACTCCATTACATCAGCTACTGCAGTCTTTAATGCTATTATACATGGGTCATCTTGTTTCTTCAACTGCTTACCACCAGCCGGCTTTCTTCTTTGGGAGCTAGTCTCTCCAGGAGTTCACAAGCAAGCTGATAGCAGAGGATACTAGACTGACATAAGTTGCACTCGATTGCTTTTTCGTCCTTCTGGCAGGTGTGGGATCCCCCCCAGGGGGCTTGGAAGACATTGTTTATAATAGAAATAATGTCCTTTGATAAGCTGTGCTCTAAACCCATCGTGATTCCATCATCTTGTAACTCCATCTGAAAGACATCGAAAAAAGGACACACACACACACACACATACACACAGGAAAAAAAAAAAAAGAAGAAGAAGAAGGAGTTTGGTCCATTTGTCCAATATTCCATTGGCACACTACTTGGGGATAATTTTCACTAACTGGCAGCAATATTGAATTGTTTAAAGACAATATAGGCTTCAAGACCATGAATATACATTGCTGTCCATGGGTTGTTTCTAGAAGGAATATAAACACAAGACGAAGCAATCGGAATTATTTTAAAAATCATGTGGGACATTTAAAAGAGAGCTGTTGTTGTTTTTGGCTCATCAGTTTGTGAGATTTTACACATTTTAAAAATGCTCCTCCTCACCTAGAGTCCAGATCTTGGTTTCTAAATACCATGAGCTGCTAAAAGGAACCAGGGCTCCTTGGAGAAATGGCTGAATTCCAGGGCTGGGGCTAGGAAAATATAAGATGAGCCCGGAACATCTTGTTGCACCAGAAATTAAGGAAGAGTTCACAGAATGATGTGGACGTGCCAAAAGAACACAGGAGCCAGCTTGAAAAGATTCCCACTGGCCAATTTGTGGAACACGAGCATCAAGATACAGAATCACAGTAACAGAGTATAACCCACCAAAACATAAAAATCCCTGGGCACTGCGGGAATAAGTAGATAAATAAATAAACACATAAATGGGAAAGAAGGAGAAACTATTCCATCAGTAGAATACCAGCGAATACATTTAGAAGAAATGATGGAATTGGAAAATTATCACTTGACTGTCATGATAGTAATAATTGATGAATCATCCATTGATGCTAAAACTAGTGGATGAAAGTCTGATAAATAAATAGGAAATCCATAAGGTATTTACAAATTACTTATTAGTTACAAAAGGGAAAATAGTGACTTTATCACAGAAAAATCTGGCAGATTTTGGTCACTTGGTTAAGGTGACCGAAGTTATCATTGCAGTAATGGGACATTATTATCTTACGCCTGCTGACATGATGCATTACAAAGGACGTAACATCACATCTGTGGTCTTCCTACCAAAAAATGCATGACCCAAATTAATTCATAAGGAAGCATCAGGCAAACTCAAATCGAGGGAGAGTCCACAAAATAACTAGACTATACTCCTCAAAAATGTCAAGGCCCCATAAGTATAGACACCCATGAGGTACCCACAAAAATTAAAAAAATTTTTTTTAAAAAAAGTCAAGGATGTGAAAGATAAAGACGAAGGAACTGTCCTAGATTAAAGAAGACAAAGGAAACAGTACATATAATTGCAATGAGTGCTTCTAAATTGTTCCTTAATCAAAGCCAGGCTTTGTTCTCTTGCTATAAAGATATTACTATTATATCAATTTTTAAAATTAATAATTTCTGTAAGTTATATAGTAGTACTATAACACTATTAATTTCCTGATTTTGATAACTGTACTATGTTTATGTAAGAGAATGTCCTTATTTTTTAGAAAATACACTCTGAAGTGTTTAGGGATAAAAGGACATCATGTCTGCAATTTAGTCTCAAACAATCTATTAAAAAATTAATGCATACACATGCAGAGAAAGAGAGAGAGAAGCGGATGTGCTAAATGTTAACATCGGGAGAATTGCAGGGAGGAGTATTTGGAAATTATAGTATTCTTGTAACTTTTCTGCAAATCTGAAATTGTTTCAAAATAAAAGGTTAAAAAGAAATGTTCTCATCAAAACCTTTTTAACTTCTCTTTTAAAATTAACTTTAAAAATGAATGTATGAAATATATTAAAATTAGCTTCATCACTATAGAGTTGTTGCCCCTCCCAACAATAGTATCATACTTTTTGTTCATGCAATTTACTTAACAGAATCAATTCTAATGACGCTAAGGTGTTTCTAAAATTCAATCCATTCTCATATGTCAACATCACTGCAGCTATTCACATAAGTAGTTTTCAGACTCTCTGGGAAATCCCCAAAGGAGTTTGCAAAAGGTCTTGGGTGATGCTGCATCATTTCGGTAAGTGTGGAGATGCCCAACACATGGAAAGAATTGCTGTACAATGCTTTCTCTCATTCTTCACCTCTGAACTAAAGGAAGCTCATGCTTCAGCTACCTGCTTCAGGAGAAGATCAAACATGAGGATGAAACAATTTAGATTCATTTCATCATCTTCACAATCAAAGTCAATAGTCCTTCCTCCTGGGTGTCCAAAATTCTTGAAAGGGCTACGAAATGGACTACGCATAGGACTCCGAAACGGACTCTGGAAAGGACTATGAAATGGACTGAGCATATTGTGCTGAACTCGTCGACCAGGATCAGAGGCAACACTCACCTACAAGAAAGAATGGCAACACAGAAATGAACTCACAGAAGCTCAAATGGCTGTGTAAAATATCTGGGGACTCTATGGAAGGTATTTCCAGCTGTCACACTTATTTCCTTCCTTAACCATTGGCATTAGTATCTCCAAATACTAAGGATTCTCTCAATATATAAAAACAAAAAATAAAACCACTCAAACTTCCTAGTTGTCAGGAAGTGACATCAACACGCCAAAGAATGAAAGCATCTGCCATTACATTTTTCAACCCATCAAACATGTCCAATTAGACCAGATTGTTTGAATATACTGAAAACCGTACCCTAAAAAATGAGAATTTACAAAAGTAAAATATTGCAAGATAATGTTTAGAATCAGAAGCACAGAATCTCAGATTGACACGATTGGTTAAAAGATGGTCTCTGGGGATTACAAGTAGTAAACTATTATGGGTCGACAATATATGATAAACCTTTTATACTGATTATTCTCCATTTGTCCACCCAACCCCCATTCAGACCTTTACTACCTCCTTGGCCCTACTCTATGCCCAAGAAGTCATGGACTGAGTCTCCTCTGGCTCCTTTGCTGCGTAGCTTCCAGCTGGGTTAAGTCAATGGTTTTTATTCTTTGGATTTTTTTGTCACTGTTTTGCTTTGGGACAGAGTCTTGCTCTCTTGCCCAGGCTGGAGTGCAGCGGCATGATCATGGCTCACTGCAGGTTTGACCTCCTAGGCTCAAGCAATCCTCCCACCTTAGCCTCCCAAGTAACTGGGACTATAGGCTTGCACCACCAGGCCCAGCTAATTTTTTGAAAATTTTTTTGTAGAGACAAGGTCTCATTATGTGGCCCAGGCTGGTCTCTAACTCCTGGACTCAAGCAATCCTCCCACTTCAGCTCCCGAAGTGCTGGGATTAGAGGCATGAGTCACCAAACCTGGCTGGGTTCAGTGAATGGGAGGCACCAGCAGAAGTCCTGAAAGCTGGAGGAGAGAGAGGCAGAAGAATTTCCCCTTCTCCCTGCCCACTTGGGTGCTACATCTCTGGGAGCATCTCTAGTACTCCATAACTTCTCCAACCAGCCCTTTCTTACAGTTCAGCTCCTGTTCGGTACCCCAGGAGCTCCTTCCCTTGTTCCTTCAGCCCTGGGGGTGTAAGGACTTTCTCCTGGACTGTTCCTGGACTCTGAGTGCCTTGTCTACCCGTACTGCTCCTTTAGCTCCCTTAAGCTTTCCCATAACACTATAGGCAGAATCTCCACTAAAGTCTGTCATTTAAACTATCTGGGATAAATTCTGAATCGGGACCCCGACTAACACATCTGTACATCACTCTCAAATCATATTTCTCTCTCTTGTTTTTCTTTTTCAATTTTTATTTTAGAATCAGGGGACACATGTGCAGGTTTGTTACAAAGTTATATTGAGTGATGCTGAGGTTTGGGATATGATTGAACCTACCACCTAGGATATTTTTCTGTCTTAAAAATCTTTGTGGTAACCACAAAGCTCTTCAAACACCATTTTTAAGGTAAAGAGGAAAATGACCCCATTAAGAATCAGAATACCCAAGCATTCACGGTGTTATCTGTAGGAAATCACTTCACTGAACATCAGGTTAGGCAGTTGTAAAATGAAGATAATGAGTTCTTCCCTGGCTGCCTCACACAATCCTGTGATATTGTTTATTGTGAACACATTGCACAGAATAAAGTGCCACACAAAGGAATGTCATCTTAAAGGTTACGGAAGAAAGAAAGAAAGTATAGATGGTTGGCAGCTGGCTCCTATCAGGCAGATGACAAAATAAGTAATGATATTCTTTAAAAACCATGAATACAAACCCATAATCATGTTCCATTTTTTAATCCCTAGATATCAGGTGGAATGGCTGGAGGCCTGTGGCATACAGTGGGGGAAATTTTGTAGAGAAGCTTGACAAAGAAAGAGTGGTGAACATTTTCTGCCAACCATCCAAAAAGAGTCAACCTTTCCACAGCTGCTCATGGCCTGAGAACAGCAGCACATCAGCAGAGACTCTACATCAGCAGAGGCCTCCATAGAAAAATAATCAAAGCTGTCCAGCAGTTTGTATACACTTTAGACCAGACTATCTTGACTTTTCTCATCTACAGTGATGCAAAGGGGTCAAGAAAGTGGGCTCAGTTGGTTCACAGTGACAGCATCCCTCACATTCACCACTAGTTGATCATATCTTCCCAAAAGACAAGGAAAAAAAATCATCCAAACTCCTGCCAAACTCCTCACCCCCAAAGTGAAGCACTGATCTGCCTAGGAGCTGGTGAAAAATTCTTATTCAGCAGGAGACTCATAAAAATAGAATGTTACCAAAAAGCTACTCTTTTTCATCAAGGGAGAGAGCTAAAATTCAAAGCAATTAAAAAGAAAATGAAAACTCAATAACTTACTGATTATACACTATACCAAACAATACTATACCAAACAAATGTGACTATTTAATGCACTTAAAAGATGAACACAGCGAGATGGGAGGAAAACACATTTTTGGTTTCTTATGACAGTACTTTCAGGCTTAGGATAACTGACAAGGGTTTTCAAAATTTTTAAAAGTAAGACAAGAACAAATGTGGCAATAATTACCCTTCGAGATGCAAGGTTCCCTGCCAGTTCACTGACTCTTGATTTTCTTTGATTTGCCAGCTCTTTGACCGAATTAACTCCATCAGAAAACATACTTATTAGGAGTTGAAGTGGAACCATGATATCTAACTCCGATAATACCTAGGGAAAAAAAGGCATATATCCCCCAAAAAACACATGTAAATTTTAAAACTCAAAAAAGCTACATTTAGCCTTCTTTTTCCAAAGCAAATTGTTGAACCTGAGGATATTTAGCCTTGCATGTATTCTATCAACACAGTCATCCTCCAATTTTCATACTAAGAAAATCAAAGTTATCATTGAACTTTCTCCTTTCCTCACCCCCAGCATCTAATAGGTCACCATGTTCTTTCTACTAACACTTCTCAGTTTCTCTTGATGCTGTCCCCGACTCTCCATACCCACCGCTAGTGCCTCAGGTCCCCACCTTTCTCCTGGACTAGCACTGCTTCTCCAGTCCATCCCCACTCTGATCTCAATGACCCATCCCATCTTGCTGTCTGGTACAACTTGGTGTCAATCTGGGCCCAAATCAAGTCACCTTCTCTGTCATTAATTTTCTGGAAAAAAAATGCCTTCTTCCTTCAGACAGAATTAATCCATCCCTGTTCTGTGCTTTCTTAACCTTTATACATACCTTTATTAGAGCAATTATTACTTTTTCTTCTGTTTAATTATCTCATCCTATCCCTCCCACTGAGAGCTGCTTAAAGAAAGGAAGTATGCAGAAAGGACTATTTCTGGTCCCACTTTTATTCCAGTGCTTATTCCAGTGCCTGGCCCATGGGAGCTCTTGCATGTGTTTCCACAATTAATTATAAATGAGTCAACTCTAACCACTATAGTGTCCACTCTATCCTCCAAATAGACCAAGGCTGGAAAACCTCCTTCAGCTGCAGCACTCTGTCTTATAAATCAAGGCTGGATGAAAGCCCAGTCCGTAAAACGTGTAAATGTTGCCGCTGTAGCTATACGGGTCAAAGCTGTATGGGCTCATCCCCAAGGAGAACAGTGTAAGGGCTGTGCAACTGGGTAACTGAGGCAACATCCAGCCATGTGTAGGAAGACTGGCTTTCTTAAAAGGAGAATTACTTTACTGAAATCCATTTGGGAATAAATGGTTACAATTCTAAATCCCAAAGTTGACTATTTTTTTTTTATGAGACAGGGTCTCACTTTGTTGCCCAGGCTGGAGTGCAGTGGCCTGATCATAGCTCATTGCAGCCTTGATCTCGTGGGCTCAAGAGATTCTCCTGGCTCAGCCTCCCAAGTAGCTGGGACTACAGATGTGCGTCACCACATCCAGCTAATTTTTGTATTTTTTGTAGAGATGGGCTTTGGCTATGTTGGCCAGACTGGTCTTGAACTCGTGAGCTTAAGTGATCCACCCACCTTCGCCTCCCAAAGTGCTGGGATTATAGGTGTGAGCTACCAAGCTGGCCCAAATTTTGACTTTTTAAAAAATGGTCTCTTTACTCTTTGTCAAATATGAAGAATATTGCTCTTTAGTTTCGAACCCAGAAAGGCATCTTTACAACTTGAAGAGCTTATGGAATCCTATCCTTGCATGACACAGAAATGTATCTGTACCTGTAGTTAACCTAAACATTGATTCTGTCCTTGTTTTCTAAAACTGCCCAAACTTCATATCAGGTATTCAAGTCAATTTAATAAACTTTAATTGAACATCCACTTTTTTTTTTTGAGACAGAGTCCCACTCTGTTGCCCAGGCTGGAGTGCAGTGGTGCGGTCTTGGCTCACTGAAACCTCTGCCTCCTGGATTCAAGTAATTCTCTGTCTCAGCCTCCCAAGTAGCTGGGATTACAGGCACCCGCCACCATGCCTGGCTAATTTTTTGTATTTTTAATAGAGATAGGATTTCACCATCTTGGCCAGGCTGGTCTTGAATTCCCGACCTTGTGATCCACCCACCTCAGCCTCCCAAAATGCTGGGATTACAAGCATGAGCCACCGCACCCGGCCCTGAACATCCACTTTTAAATACAAAGCATGTGCTATATTCTAGGAGGAGAGGATGAAGAGGGTTATAAATACAGAAATGAGTAAGACCTGGCCCTTGTACTCAGGAGGTTGTAATCAGGTGGAGAGAGAGACAAAAACTGTGAGACAGAAATAGAACCAAATTCACACAGAGAACCCGGGAAGATGAGGGCTTGAAGTAGCAGAAAACTTCACATAGGGGATAATTTTTGAGATGAACTTTAAAAGGTAGGTTGGAGTTCACAAATAGAGACACAAGAGAAAGTCATCCCAGGCTGAGAGAACAGCACGAACTAGTCACTAAATCCTTCCCCATCCTTCCAAGTAAAGGACCTGTTTAATATCAAAGATTTAGCAGAATCCCACAAGACAACTATTATACTTTTAATAGCCATTGATGGAAAAATATAAAAGGACCTCAAGCTACTATGAATTCAGTAATATTATTGCACAATTTATATATTTATATATTACCCACAACTAGAGCAACATATATTCGAAATTTACTCATTTATCTATGCATAGGAGATATTCTTTCTTGGCAAACATAGGGACTTATGAACTCTTTGCTACAACTCCCACCCCCTCGACCCAGGAATCTAAAGCTTGTAAGCTAAGAACTATTTCCTAAAATGATCGGAAGTATTATTCACTTACATGAAGCCATAGTAAAGCTTGCTCCTGCACAGATGAGGGGTATCCTGTAAACCGACAACTAATAAAACCAAACATCTCCTCCATTGAGAAAGGCAGAGGACAGAGTTCAATGTCAAACATTTTGCTGGAAAGCAGAGCAACAAAAGTAAATGACCAATGGGCATAGATCGGGTTCTACTAATGCCACCAATGTCTTTCTAACTATTCCCTATTTGGAAAGCCAAGTCTTTTAGATTAGTTTGTGTTCTGAACTGTTATCAGCATGTTTCACTTTACTAGAAGAGAAGTTTATGTCATTGAAATAGAGATCTTATAAATAATTCATATGGTGGTTAATAACATTACTGTTCTTCCTCATATTAGGTTTAACAGAAGGAATTGCATTTCTCAGGCATTAGCATTGCTCCCTAGCATCTAAAACAGTTTCCCTTTGCACTTTCCCACCACATCCTACCAATTATAATTATATTTGAAAATTTCAAAATAAGCAAACGTCTGTTTTTATCTATTTACTGTTCCACAAGAACAAAATCTTTTCGGGACAATGCCAAATCATCTTAGGTGGAGGTATTGCAGCTATTTCACGTTGGGGCTTCAAGTTTCTCTACAGGGTTGTTAAAAAGTAAATGAGATTATATAAAATGCTTAGTAGGGTGACAGGCATACAGTACATGCTCAACAAACATTAGGTATGATTATAATTGCAGTGATTTCATTAAACTACTTACCCACCTTAATACTTCCCTGAATTCTTTTAACTGATTATCTGGGACTTCTGTTCTGATGGCTTCCAGCCATTCCGGCATAATACACTCCCAGACAGATTGACTGATCACATTATAGGGGATCAGGCAGAGGATTCGATTGAGACCTTCCTTCAGCTGAGTCACTGTGCTACAGGACTTATCCCAGTAGCCACCAACCTGAAGGGGTTTCCACACCCACAGGAGAAAAGAATGAAACACACTGGTTACAATTATACTCAAGGACTTCCTAAGGCAATGGATACAGAGAAAGGCCACAATCCGTCATGTCTGAGTCCTCGGCCAAGAATCTTCAGTGTGAGATTGATTCGTAAGACGGCAAACCACCAGGATCCATCAGTTACAGAAAGGAAAACATAGTTACCAATAGGCTCAAATATTGATTACGGATTGAATTTTTAATGATTCTACTGTAGATTTTCCAAATCACATGTGAATTAAAATTCCAAAGATTTATTCCCAACAGGATGAGCATACTCTTAGAGCTTTCTTATTCCTAAAGTCTGATAAATCCATTACAACATGCACGTTAAACCTGTGCTTCAGAAGAACACAGCTTTCTACTACTGCGTGCTTTGTACTGCAGATTTTTCATTACAGGAAATACGGTAGTACACAGTGCTCTTTTTACCCTATGCTGCATACTCTGCCACAATTTTTTTTCTAAGAACACTCTAAAGGTAGTTGAATCTGTGAATAAAAAGGACTGGCTTTTTAAACTAATTAAGATAGTATATTAATTTTTAAGAGCAGGAAAAGGTTAAAATCATGAATTTACAGACTTACGTTGTTCATAATCCTGAGGTTAGAGATTGTATATTCTAAGTATCAATGTAACAAAGGTTAAACTGGTCCTGAGTCTTTACCAAATAACACAAGATGTGTGAGAAATTACCTTAATTTAAATGAATCCTATTTTAAATGTTTATTACATCTAGAATTCCAGATTATTCCGAAAAATCAATCAATTATATTTTAAAGTTCCAATATCTATTTGGTGCCATATTGACCAAAATCCTAGACAATTGACTAAATATTTTTAGGAAGTGACTATATTTCTGGAATTTCTGTTGTGTTGTTGTTAGTTACAGGTACAGAGAGAAAAGAATCAGCACTAATAACATTAAGATCCTGAAATATATCATTACTGAAGTTTTTTTGGCTACGTAGTTTATGGTCAAGCCATATAAAGGCTTATTGGTTTTGAATTGTATTTTGGAACAAGCATGCTTTTGGAAACCCTAAATTGTCAATGGCCAGATGACAAATCTTTTGGGTTAGAAAAGCTTTCATATTTAAAAGGATTTTTAGAGCACACTTACCCTAAACAAATGTCCTAATTACCTACAGGGGAGGATGAAATGGAAAGAAGGACACAAAAAGTATCACAGCTAGCCTAAAAGCTTCCTTAATGAAATTAAACAACAGAAATCAGATTTAGAACAACAATTTAAATCTACACCCACTATAAACTCCCCTTCACTACCTTCCTCCTGCACATGGCCCAGTGGGAGGCTGATAGTTCAGTCTGATAGGAGATATTATGGAAGACTTTCCTCTACAGGTCAATGGGCTGAAGTGGAATGATATGCTCTGAGGGCAGGAATTTATCCTAAAGGCTCTGTTAAAAGATTTAGAAAAACATTCCAAAGGCACACAGCTCTAAATTCAGAAGCCCTGGAACGCAGGAATCTTTTGGTTTCCACATCAGTTGGAAATCTTCTCTCTGACATAAAGGGGCAATTTCAAAACAGTGCAGTTGGATGGGCAGGCCAATCCCTTAACTGGCTGAGTCCACCACCCAGTTCTTTGAATAATTAAAAATAACTGTTCTAGGCTGAGGCGAAAGGATCTCCTGAGGCCATGAGTTCAAGACCAGCCTGAGCAGCATAGTGAGACCCTGTCTCTAAACAAATTTTTTTTTAATTAGCCGGGCATGGTGGTATGCACCTGTAGTTCCATCTACTCGGGAGGCTGAGGTGGGAGGATCGACTGAGCCAGAAGTTTGAGGCTGCAGTGAGCCATGGTTGTGCTACTGTACTCCAGCCTGGGCCACAGAGTGAGAACCCATATTAAATAAATAAATAAATATTTTTAAAAAATAAATAAATGCCCTGGCTTTACTGAGTCTTTACAAAAACACAAATGTGGCCTTAGGAAAAACCTAAAGCACCTCCCCCCATCCTTCTTACCAATCCCAAGACCTCCCCTCCAAAAGACGCTTGCAGATACTATAAAATGCCAGGACACTGGAAAAGGGACTGTCCTGCACTTAAGAAGCAAAACTTAAATTGTAATTGTCCCGGGCCTCAGCCTGGACATGTAAACACTGCAGACTCTCCAGACAAATAATCATCCATTCCCCCATCCTCCCTTAAGCACCTACATGTTAAAGCTCAACACTGCCAGGAGAATTTCCTGTTTGTCCTAGACCAAAACCTGGCAATAGGCAAATATGTCCCTGGAAATCCTCTTGGAGCAGTTACTTTAAAAGTCTGCATCGCGGGGCGCAGTGGCTCACACCTATAATCCCAGCACTTTGGGGGGGGCCGCAATTCATAGTCATATTAAGACCAATTAATAGTCATACAAAGTGTGAAAGGAAAACCTTGGGCCCCAAAATTACTAAGCTAAAGGGAAATGTCAAGCTGGGAACTGCTCAGGGCAAACCTGCCTCCCACTCTATTCAAAGTCACCCCTTTGCCACACACTGAGACAGATGCATATCTGATTGCCTTCTTTGGAAAGGCTTATCAGAAACTCAAAAGAATGCAACCATTTGTCTCTCACCTACCTGTGACCTGGAAGCTCCCTCCCTGCTTCGAGTTGTCCCCGCCTTTCTGGACAGAACCAATGTACTTCTTACATATATTGATTGATGTCTCATGTCTCCCTAAAATGTATAAAACCAAGCTGTGCCCCGAGCACCTTGGGCACATGTCTTTCCCGAGGCTGTGTCACAGGAGAGCATCCTCAACCTTGGCAAAATAAACTTTCTAAACTAACTGAGACCGTCTCAGATATTCAGGGTTCACAAAAGAAAGTAGCCATTATATTGATAAAAGAAAACTTCAGCTGAATTAAATGTAAAGAAGTTTAATCAAACAATAAATGATTCACAATTTGGGCAGCCTTCTGAGTCAGAGTAGGCTCAGAGACTCCAGCACAGCCACGTGGTAGAAGAAGATTTATGGACAGAAAAAGGAAAGGGATGGACAGAAAAGAGAAGTAAGGCTGGGCACGGTGGCTCATGCCTGTAATCCCAGCACTCTGTAAGGCCGAGGTGGGTGGATCACCTGAGGTCAGGTGTTTGAGACCAACATGAGAAAACCTGATCTCTACTAAAAATACAAAAAAATTGACCAGGTGTGGTGGTGGGCACCTGAATCCCAGCTACTCGGGAGGCTGAGGCAGGAGAATCACTTGAACCTGGGAGGTGAAGGTTGCAGTGAGCCAAGATTGCACCACTCCACTCCAGCCTGGGCAACAAGAGTGAAACTCCGTCTCAAAAAAAAAAAAAAAAAAAGGAAGGAAGGAAAGGTACAGAAACAGCTGGATTTGGTATAGGTTGGCATTTGCATTTTGTGAACATGGTTCGAATAGTTGGCTACATTTGATTGGCCAAAACTCGGTGATTGGCACGGTGTAGGCTATGGTCCATTCATACCTCCACTTGTTATAGATCACCATGTACAGAGAAACTTTTAGGCCAAACTTAAAGGATGTAAGGAGGCAGTTTTAGGCTAAACTTGATTTAACACTATATTATTTTTCGGGGCTTTCATGTTTAATCATGCCTTTTACTTAAAGAATTCCAGGCCAGTGGCAGTGGCTCAAGCCTGTAATCTCAGCACTTTGGGAGGCCAAGGTGGGTGGATCACGAGGTCAGGATATCAAGACCATCCTTGCCAACATGGTGAAACCCCACCTCTACTGGGTGTGGTGGCACGTGCCTGTAGTCGCAGCTACTCACGACGCTGAGGCAGGAGAATCGCCTGAACCTGGAAGGCAGAGGTTGCAGTGAGCTGAGATCATGCCACTGCACTCCAGCCTGGCGACAGAGCAAGATTCCGTCTCAAAAAAAAAAAAAAAAATTTCCAGAAACTGGCCTAAGGAGATCCGAAATCGAACCAAGGCTGTGGAGTGTCCCTACTCGGGAAGGAATGCTGAACAATTGATTTACAGCATTGTTGCCACTGGCCAGACCACCAGGTGGCCTGTTACTCAACGTAACCATCATGACCGGCTATGCTGACCTGCATACCTTACCCCTTAACAAGCTCTGCCCAGCCCAGCCTGCAAACCTTACCCGTGATGTCAATTCCCGCTCTTTGCCTAATAAAACGATCCCTACCAACGCTTTTTGGAAAACCAGTGGGAGGATTCTTGCACTTCCACTGTCTCCCTTGCTCTTGAGCACAAGCCCTGAAATAAAATCCTTGTCTAGGAAATCCGCTTGGCCCCATGTTCATTTCCATTACATGGGAAGCCAAAGAGTCTGGTTTATAAGAGATTCTCTGGCAACTGCTGCACGTCCACAGGACATGGGGAACATTTTTCCCTCCCAAGCAGGAGGCTTGTGAGCCAGCATGATGGCCAGACACCTCTGCAGCTGATGGGCAGCTGTCTGAATCTTTGGTTCAGTATTGCTGTAACTGAGAGTTTTCCTCCAGCTTCCCCAAGACTCCTTGCCACCCCTCTAAGCTATGCTTTCCCTCTTCTCCTGTCCCCTACTTGTTGTGTTTTTATTTTTCCTTCTTCTTCCTTCCTCCTTCCCTTCTTTTGGTTTTCACTAACTTCATCAACTCCAACTGAATAGATACCCACACAGGGCATGTTGAAATGGTGGATTGGCTCAGCCTGAATAGTCACCCATGCAGGATGGATTGAAATGGCTGATCAGTTTAGAAAACTCTGTTTAGTGCCCTGACTTTGAACTCTGTAATCTTCTTTAAGTCTTCTAAGTATTTTCCCTCCCTTTGCCACACCTTATGAGGAAGGGAAGCCTGTGGACTTGCCTGTCATCTGTCTGTTTCAGTGTGAAGCTACTGACTCTGCGTGCTGTTAAAGCAAACTAAATACAGCCTGAGAAGAACTCCATACTTCTATATTTGAGTCCTTGTGGATATAACCTAGCTGTAGAAAACAACGTATATGGT